GTCGGCGCCAGAATGCTCAAAATCTTTCTTGAAACCAGCACGGCTCGCATCCTTCACATGTGCGTCTTTTGCTGCTTTATGGCCGTATCCTGAACTGCTTTCGCTTTTAAAAATATTGCATCGTGTCTGCTTATATTTTCTGCTAATTAGTTAAAACTAATCTGCTAGCACTCAACGGCAAGAGAAGAGCGAAGAGAGCTGGGCTGTTATTGGTGGTGGCTAACTGGTACTTCGTCGCATTTCTTTCATTTTTTCCTTAGCACGGAATGTATTCCTTTTGCCAATGAAATACACTCCGTTCGAAAGGAAAATTACAATTTTTTCTCAAAATATGGAAGCCATAAATTTGAGTTTTTATTTGGAATCTATTCGTCGTAGAAGTAATCGCTGCTGCGACTCTTACCTTTCTTCCGAGGATTGCTTGAAAAGCAGGTGAAAGCATTTTGAGTTCTTGAAAGCCTAAGCGGTTCTGTTTCGTAGCTGGGATAGGAAGTGCTATCACAATGTTTTTTGCACAAAATACAGCATAAAGCTCTAACCATTGGTTCCAAAGTATCCTTTTGAGTAGAAGCCTTGTGGCCCAGATCCACGCGTGAAGTAGGAATACTTCTTGTGTCCTTCTGCTCCTAAAATGTCAGGGAATTAGCGAATTTTAATGTGCAGCACATCATCAATTTTTTGCGCTGCATGGAACTGGTGTGAAAAGCATTTGCGAAATTGATTAAAATGAGCTTCAGGATATTGGCCTCCTAAGCCAGCGCCTACCTGAAAGCGCATGCTGCCCGGCTTCCAGAGCATCCGCGAAGTGTTCATCAGCAGCGTGCTTTGCGAATTCAGAGAAGCCGTCGGCGGCACCTTTGCTTCCGTACACAAATCCTGCGTGGTCTTTGTCGCTGTAATCGTGACCCCTGGCACCATGTTCATATGCGTTGGCCGCTCGACCCTTCGCTACACCAGCACTACCCCAAGCACTACCGTCTTTGCCCCAGTATTGTCCTGAAGTTTACAGAATAATAATTACAGACCGGCAATGTAGAGAACGCAGTGATTTTTTGGGCCACTGTCTTTAACAAATGCGAGTACCACCTAAATGAAAGCAGAAGCATTAGGTGGGTTTTTTTTTTGTTCGTTTCGTACAATCGAACGCCTTCCCAGTTCTCAGGGCAGCGAATCAATCGTTACTCCAGAGCAGGAAAGGCTTCCTTCCTTTTTACTAAGCAGACCAACGGGGAGCCAGGCACTAAGAAAGTTATGTTAAGTTCCAAACAAAAGAAAAAAATTTAAAATATTTTGAGGTTGGTGTGTTCCAGACAGGATTGTAAATTTGGTTCTATGCGTTCTATTTTTCAGTGTGGTTGAAACTGGCTTATTAACAAACGTACCGGCATCCCATTCGCTGGAGGGTTCCCGATGGAACCATTCAGCCGAGCACTGCACGTGCTGCACCAAACTGATAGCACAGAGAACTGCTGCTGCTGCAGCAGTAGCAACAGTGAAATGAAACATCTTTCTGAAGTATGTCCCTGAAGATGAGAAGGCTTCGTGCTTGCTGCATTGGTGAATTGAGCCGCAATTTATACTGCTCCGTAAACAAGGTCAACGTAATTTGAGCAAGCTTCATTCTGGTTCAATTAAAATGCCAACTTTTTTCGTTTTATTTTTTGCAATTTAACGTCAATTTTTATTTCATTTTTCACTTTTTAGTCAAGATTTTCCCAATTACGTTTTTACTTCCCCAGTATTCTCCGTTGATCTAGAATTTTAGTTTCCTAGCTTTTCTGGGTCCCAACATGAAAACTTTGAAAAAAAGCACTCAGAACACATACACAAGAAAGTGACAACGCATCGTTTCGTGCAGTTGATACACCAAAAAACGTGTAAATAAATGTTTTGGAAACAGAGAAATACTTGCGCGGTAATTCGGTTCTAATGCTTGGTGATGCGCACCGCGTCGGCCTGTGCGATCATGCGTTTTTGAAGTATTTCGGAGCTGCAGTAGCTAGAATTTGTGGCATACTGGTCCCCGAAGTTCAGGAAGTTAGTTATGTAACTTACGCGGTACTTGATCACGAAACATCCTCTCAAAATTT